GCCCATGTGGCATATGCGTGCCCCGCCTCAGCTCCCCTTGCCGGCCCTCAGCTGACCCTAGGCTGCATACATTCCACAGCAATCGAAAATGGAATTAAATGTTTTGCAAACACTCGAACGCGTTTGCCTTTACCGAGGCTAAACCAGCAACAACAACAACAGCGGCAGGAGTAGCGGGAGCTGCAGCAAGAGCGGCAACAATAACAAACAACAGCAGTATAACCACAGGATATAAATTAAATTTTATTGCCAACTTTGGTCCGTTTGCGCTGTAAATTGTGATGGATTCCCGCCATTTGGCTTGTATAGTTGTAACACCATAAAGGCACATAAATATACCAGCTCGCACAAACACATTGCATACATATATACATGTCTATGTATACATATATGAGTAGAAATATAAGTATGCACGTTGAATTAGTGTGCGAACTAATGAATAACAATTATCCGTAAAGCATATCGAGGCAGTAAATTAACTCTGTATCCCATATGAATAGAGCAAATTCTTTACTGCGGTAATATTTTTAATCTGGCCACTATGCTGCTGCTGCTGCTGTACAAATGGGTATTTGTGATAGGAGAATACAGAGCGGGAATCGACCTGACGTCATGCAATATGAGAAGGGAGAGCTATGTCGAGTGATGAGCTCTAATTCGGTATTTGTATTCAACTGTTTTCTAATAACATTTGAATTACTGCATTGTATAGAAAATAAGTAAAAGACAAGTATTTTGTAATCTAAGGATTGTTTTAAGTATTTTTCCAAGTATTTCTTCCAAGTAAGTCCAGAAAGTCCAGTAACTCTTCAAGTGAAGAAAATACTGATTCAACCAATTTTTTCTCCAAGTAATTCCTTGAAGCATTTCCATTAAATATTTCTTCCAACCATTTATTCCAAGTATGTATATCTTCTAAGTATTTCTTCCAAGTATTTTTTTCATTTGAAAAAAATAATTATTCCTCCATTTATTTCCTCTTACTGTTTCCTCCCAGTAGATCCTCCTAGTATATCCTCTTAGTATTTCCTCTTAGTGTTTCTTCAAATATTTCACTTCACTCTACTGCACTGTACGACTGACCTCCACTAGGCTTGGGCGACTGAAGAAATGTTGTAGCTGCTGCCTTTTATATAGGGATACATTCACTTCTGCAGTCGAGCTTAAAGTGACCAATGGAAATACACTCTACTGCTGGGAGTATTCTAGATTCGTTTTACTCAAATATAAATTAGGGAGACAGGGAGACAGACAGGGAGAAATATGTATGTATGTGTGTATATAGCAAATTTGAAGATCTGTCAACACACGAGCTAATGGAACGAGGAATGGAACGGCTAGTAGGATTTTAGTGAGAAGAGTAAATAGTAGAAAGAAATTAGAATAGATTGATCTAAGCTCTCTTAAGAAGTTACCAATAATCGAGCGATAGCTACTCTTAAATTGCAGTGCTATACGTAGCACTGGTTGCAGGGCGCAGTATCGGTTTAGACTAACTAAAAGCTTAGCTATATATATATCTGCTATATATATCTGCATATGTATGTCAGAGTACCAATACAACAATTTCTGCTGACTAATTGTTTGATAGATGTGGCATGCAGAGTCTTAAAATGCCATGTTTACTGCCAAACCTTATAAGCAACAGAGTTCTCAATGACTCTGCATAGTCAAGTGACAGTCGATCAATTGAAGTATGCATACTACTTCTATATCTATATATATAAATGTGTATATTTATATTATATATATTCAGTGTCAACTATTATGTGCGCACATTAGTTTAGTATTTCGCTGGCATTTAGCAACGCCCATCGCATTATTATTTGACAGAGCGAAGACTTTTCAGTTTTAATGAGCACTTGAGCGAGTTTTTCATTACTTGGCTTGGCGTCGCTTTAATTAACAAAAAATGTTTCGCTATCCGAAAGAAAAGGGCGCAATAAGACACATGAGCTCCCGCCCGGGGCACATCTGAAAATGTTGCTGACGGCTGCCAAGGAACAACAGCAAATAAAAAGTCGCCACTAAGTAGAGTTGTTTTTCCCCTATTTTTTGTTGTTTCTTTTTTTGTAGTTTTGCAAATGTTGTCCATTTCTCCTCGGCTCGTTGGGAGGATGGGGATGGGGGTTGTTGCACTTGGCGTTAAAAAAGCGGAAAATCGCAGCACATTTTTGCTTTTTAATTAAGCCCTCCATTTTTTATGTGCCTCTCGAAAGCGACACGGCGTGATTCGCTCCGTGCACGAAGTGTGAGAATAGTTTATTTGCCAACAAAGCCCGAAAGGGCGAAAAACACGTGCGTGCCAAGACCCGAACACGGACGAGGGTCGGGGTGGATCAGAGCAGCGCAGGCAACGCAAATCCCGTTGGCCAAATGACAAGGCACACTACATAAGAGTCTAATTGAAGGACAGAGCATGTCATTTTATTTGGCAACCCAATACGGTAGCCTGATTTACTCTGAAATAATTATGCACACGTAATACCTGATATTTTTTAGCAAACTAGTTTACGACTTTTACTTTTATGTGATTTGATAACGTTGAAAGTGAAATTTAGTTCTGCTAAAGCTAGAGTATGGAACGTCTAGGCGATCGGGTGGGATAAATGAAAGTAATAAATTTAATATAAATTATAAAACTAATATATACACATCTAATTTAAAATTTATAC